TTTTATATGGAGTGATTTTTTCCTCGTAACTAGATAGAGGTATAGAGATTACATAAGGCCTAAAGTATCACACATGGTAATAAATCCTTTACTGTAAAACGAGCATTGTATCTTTTCCTCCTTAAGGCGCATCGTCTTTTGCGTTAATTTTCCTTCTGCACACCCTGCAGCCTCAGAGGTCATATCCCCCCCCCCCCTCTCCCTCTCCATTCCAGTTCCCTTCCATACCCTTTTGTACAGGGTCGCATGTCCCGCGGTCCGCGACCTGACCACAATCGCCGCTCCACCTGTTCACGGTCCATCAGGTTGGTTCGAATTAATTGATTGATTGAGTAATCGACTGAACGACGCGTGACTGGAATAACAAAAAAAAAAAAAGAAACAATTGCGAGGGCTTCACGTGATCCCGCAAAAAGATAGACGGAAAGAAGGGCAAGTACAAAAGGAGGACACCGCATCCAGAAAAGAATCTCTAAAAAAAGTATACATACTATTTTACTCTACGACGCCAAAAACAATCTCCAAGATTAGACGAAGTAAATGGGCAATCCTCTAGAATGGGGCAGGGTGCTACAGATTCATTTCTTTTACCAGTGTGCGTCTCTGGACGCCGAATGGCAACGGGGAAACAACAGACCGTGTTATGCACGACTTACTCGGACAGAATAAAAAAAGAAGCAAATCGTCGTTAGACTGTAGAAATAAAATTTTAAAAAAATGGCGTTGCAGACCAGGCGGGCGAGAAGGGGACGCCGCCGCCAGCCGCTGGGAGGGTGGCGTCGCTACGAGGGAGGGGGAGTCAGACAGGAAGGGAGAGAGCGAGAGAGCGAGCAAAAGAGAGGGACAGAGAAGGCTGGGCATGTTTGCTGAAAAATATGCCAAGCTTTCCAAGCGTTATTATGTAATCGAACGCGGCCGTGGGAGAGATTAGAATAATTCAGACGCCGTTCGCCCCGCAGGGGAGCGCTATCGCCTGCTATCGATGAGGTAGGCCGGGTGACTGCGACCGGAAGGCAACATCAGTACAGCAGAAGAACCGGTCCAGGCGAGTCCAGTGTCTACCACGATTGGGGTCTGTGTTCGATGAAGTCTGAGGGGGTTCCTACTTTCGCTTGTCTTTTCGATTTTTACTACAGTAGACATGACATGTCTTTCAGATGTAACCAAAAAGTCAGGGTGAACGCCTCCTCAATTCTTCATTGGAAAAAAGTGAGTCTATCGTTTGCTCTCTCGCTCTCTCTCTCTTTCGTAAACCATCTCTCACTCTGCCCTTTCCCCCTGTTTCCCCTTTCCCTCACCCTCGTTTTCGCTTCACAAAGTGTCGATGGGGCCCCACATTCTCATCGCCACTGTAACACGACACGAAGCGAAGCGGTTCCATGTAGACTTCATATTCCGCCCTTCAGCATAAAAGAAAAATAAAGCATGAAAAGGAAAAACAAATAGCGGAGGGAAGGCCACGTTAAGTGGGCACGGCGGGGCAAGGCCTGGCCGAACATGATGTCGACCGCGTACCAGGTACAGCATGGGGTGATGCCAAATTGCTTCGGGAATGAGAACGACTAAATGAGCTCCACCATTTTTTTGCAGCGTTCGTTTTCAGCAAGACCGCGTATTTCTCCTTGTCGAACAACATTTGAGACGTCCGTTGACATTCGGGCATGTGTAAATAATGAAAACAAACCTAAACTTGACCAACAGGTAAATAATAACTTAAAACTCGGATGATTCTTTACACGGTTTTGCTAGAAAGACATCTTTTAAGGTATAGTCAGCCCCCACTCTCACTCACCCTACAGCGGCCCGCGGTGCTGCACCGCCAACCCTCTTCCGCATTCTGCTGTGCACACCCCTTGCACCCTAATCTTTTCTACCCACCGTCATGGATTTAACAATCTACCCTCGTCCTCTGAAATGTAATTAAATTGAGCTTTCCCCTCTCTCTTCATGCTCTTCTGCCTGAGCCAGCCCCGGGGGCCGGCTGCGGCGGCAGCCCCGGCTCTACGCCCTCTGCGGATGGGAAGGGAAAAAATGGCAAGAAAAACACGGGGAGGGTTAACGGCTGCGATGGTATGTGTTCGCTACGCTCCGCCACGCCCCGCCGGGGGTGGAAAGCCTTTGTTCCCGCCCTTCACCGACACGCCGGGGGGCGGCGTCTTGTTGAGAGAAAGAGCGGCGAAATGAAATTCCACGCACCGTCCACACACGTCCACAATGTACGGCGCGCCATAGAAAAGAGGTATGAAGTGCGCGGCGGGTCCGAGCGGCCCCCGATGAGGAGGGGCTGCCTCGGCGCCATGACCGTCAAGGGGGTGGGGCTCCGGCCAGTGCGGCCAAGACAGGCGAGGGAGTGGGTGGTCGGGGCGCACAGAGGGGATGACGGCCCCTCGACGTCTGCATATTCAAGGGCGCCAATATTATGTGCTGCTGTCAATTTTCTCCTCCCTCGTCCCCTTTTCCTCACACAAGCACCCCCTTTCTATTTCTCGCTTCGCTTTACTTCTACCCCTTTTCATTTTCCTTTCGCCGACAGCGATTTTCCCCATCGTAACTATCTCTCACTCTCTCTCTCTCTCGCTCTCACTCTCGCCACCGGTCAGCTTTTTTAATCGCGGCAGGGGCGCTAGTATGCAAATTACGTTGATTAAGACAAAATGATTGTCGCCCCTTTGTCGACGTTCACGCAGTGCGCAACATTTTCACGTGTTGGCTGTAAATTACCCCCCTCCCGTATTTTTTTTGGCAAAGCAAAATAACGAACTGCTTTAATGATGTAATGTACCGACTGTATCAGAGCGCACACACATCATACTTGCACTGGCTGCAAGTGCTGTGCTCTGCTGTAGTACCCACACCCACATAACCTGACGCACAATTTGGGAATCGCAAACCAACAACAATCCGCTTCAATGCCTGCTCAGTCACGTCCTTTTACAGAATTTCAAAAAAATCCACAAGGCAAGGCAAAATTTCTCTTTTTTAAAAAAATGATGGCAATCATGATAAAGAGCTGACTACAAATACCCCGCATGAAGATAGTCACAGGTAGTACTTTTGGATTAGCATGGAAGGGATTTTGCAAATTCTACTTACAAGAAAACTGCAGGAACATCGCGCATGGTATTTTCAACATAGCGCAGTTGATTGAGTGTTGGTGATCGCCTTTCCATATATTTCTTCCGGAAACAGCAAAGCGTTATCGGGCTAACATTTCTATCAAGCAGATAGCCAATTACCTGTATCAAACGCCTCCCCCTCCCTCCTCCCCCCTCATTGCAGCACAGAGGGCGGTACTGGTGGGCAAGATGGATAGGCGTGAGACAAAGGAAAGGGGGGGATAAAAAAAGGGGGGTATATGGAGAGAACGGGGGCGGGATGAGAGAAATGGGCGGGAGATAGCGAGAAAAAAGACTGGCAGGCGCGCGGGGCCTGCGGAAGCGGGCGCGCATGGAATTAATGTATGCATTAAAAGTACACATTAGGGCCGAAATCATTAGAGAAGGCATTAAACCAAACGACCCTCCTAGCGGGCGTGGCGCGGCGAGACTTCAGCACATAACTCCCTCTCTTTCCTCCCTCTTGTGCCCCCCCGCGTCTCCCTCTCTCTTTCCCCGAAACCACCACCCCTTTGCTATCTCCCTGGCCCTGGTCGGACTGGCGCGCCCGAGGGCCGCGCCAGCGCTGCGCTATCTGATTCGCCAACGAAAACTCACCGAGAAAGCGCACACAAACACACACACACACACACACACACACACACACACACACAAACACGGGATAAATGTCCCGTAGACTCCCGCATGCTACACTCTTAACACAGTAGAATGCGGACCTCATTCGACAAATTGTGGGAGTTCGACGCCTGCGAGACTCCGGGTAGGCCACCCTGCAGAGCAGGCGTGCATTGCATGCGAGATGTTGCCTACCTATTAGGCGCTATGAGAGGTCGCATCACGGCTTACTTTGGTAGTTTCGTAACGTTGGATTACGGACCTGTGGACCTCATGGATGACCCCTTGTGGTTCAAGCGAGTAAGCAATCTATACCTCGCAGGAATGCGGTAAAGTATAACTACAGAAGGTACGAGGATGATCAGCAACTTGGTACATAGCGTAAGTACAATTTCTTACTTGCAGAATTATGTATGACTCGTTGAAAAGATTTACATCGTTACAGATATCATTTCTATGCACGTTGGTTCTGTGTATGGTGTATCATCGCAGTTAAATTTTCTCGACCCTATAGAACCTCATCCGTTTTGAAACTAGAAATCGACATGTTTACCTTCTATCTTAGGGCAAAATTTTCCTTACGTTTGCATGTTTTTTTTCATTTTATTTCATATGCACCCGCTTACCTCTTATAGGGGTTTCTGCACATCGCATGGAGTGGAAGGGGTGATCACCCAACCTCCCCTCCTGCCTGTGTGTGTCTCTCTCCTGCCCAATTTCCTCCTTTGGATGTCGGTGACAGGCTGCTCACAGAGCAGCTCGACTCGCCCCCAACATTGGACGCCCTGAGGGGCCGCCGTGACGCTCTGCAAAGCATGCCCGGCGTTTCTTCTCTCTACGACTTTTATTTCTCTCCCTACGCTCTGCTATACAACCATATCGTGCGGCATTCACTGCTGCGTCGGAGCGGCCCATTTGTCCAACCGGATATAGCGTGAAAGGCAGGGGCAGACACAGGGAGAGACAAGGGGAAAAGGGAGGGACATGGGACAGGGGAGGGGGCGAGAGAGAGATACAGGACAGGAGTGTTCATGACGACGTCTCTAGCATGTGTCCCTTCCACCTGCTGCCAGGAGCAGGAGGCCTCAAACGAGGCTTACACACAAGGCAACTCACGGTATGGAGACGGGGCTACGCCATGGCGCCCAAACAGCAAATAAAATACTGTTTAAAAAAATGAAGTAGAGTACGTAGTAACTAAAGTAGAACTACGATAATAATTTTAAGAGCTGAAGGAAAAAGAAAGACGAAACGCCTTTTACTACTCACCAAACGTTGGGTTCTAGAGAAGGCACCGGCTAGCCAGCGACACCTGTAAGTGAATGAGAAATTGTCATTCGGTTCATTTCTTCATTCAAATTATTTCAGAAAATATGGAGCAATTTTAGTTGGCGTCAACTGCTCAACAAGTCTAAGTGTGCAACCGCGAGTTGAATAAATGGAAATGTTCAGCTCAGTAGTACTGCACTTGCAAGTGTCAAACTAGGTTATTTTGCACTTGTAAGTGTGCAACTTATCTGTTGAACACTTCTCTAGATCGGCCGTTTAATGTAAGGGGAGTGTTCAACAGAGGAACTGTGCACACAAGTGCACAGTTACCGGTATGAACATTTGCAAGTGTACTAACTGCTATATGGAACACTTTGCTACTAACTTGAAGTACACGGAAAAAAAAGATTCGCTGAGCCAGCTAATATATTGACTGGTATCTGGACAGACAAGCACATAAACTTCTGTAACCACTATATTGTCTACTCTAATCAATCATTGGCTGTGCCAGTCAAAAATTAGCTGTAAGAGCTCCATCCTTACCTAAATCAGTCGAGGTCTACCTTACTGATGCAGGCAAATCATTACTTCATACAA